TTTTAATTACTTATGTTAATATTATATATTTGATTTAAAATATCTTGTAAATAGAACAAAATCTTAGTTTATTAAAATTTAAGTTTAAAGTAAATATTAGATTATTTAAGTTTATTTTTTACTTATTTAGAACTAATATAATTATATACTTTAGTATCCTATTTTAGAAAAAGATACAAAATCTATATAGTTTACTAAATAAATATTAAATCTTTAAATCTTATTTAATAAAATCCTAAAGTAAATATAGTTTTAAGTGATAATTCAGACATTATAAAAAATTTGAAATATAAAACAAAATAATTATTTTTATAAAATTATAAAAAAATATGAAATATGTTCTTTTGATTCAGTTATAACTAATTATACTAAAATTTTAATAATTCAAGTGTTTCAAAATTAAAAAAAAATACCTTTTATGATAAAAAATAAAAAAATTTAACTGATTTTAATAAAATAACGAAATATATTTTAGCATAATATAAGTTTACTTATTATCCTTTTCTAGAATATATAAATAATATTTCTAATATATTTTATTTATTAGTATTAAAATATGAAATAATCCTATATTTATAATTCATATATTATATAAAGAATAGAATAAAGAAACATATATTACAAATGTTATAATTTCTTTGTTTTAAGCAAGTTTGATTTATTTTTTAAATAGCAATATCTGCTTAAATATTATAAAATGTTAAAGTATAGTAAGTAAAACTTAATAGAATCTAAGAATAGATAGAAAGTAAATAAAAAAGTAATTGAATATTATAAAACTGTTAAAACAAGATGAAAAATTATTAAACTAATATATACTGAATCATCACGTATTATATATAATAATTTGAAAAAATTCAGATAATAATATTAAGTTATAGAAAATATTAGTTAAGACAAGTATTATGTAAGCTAATAAAAGATCAATTTAGAGTTATAGAATTTAAGTTATAGGTATCTTAATATTTTTATTAAAGATTTAGTTAGTATTCTTCAATATTTTTATTTAAATTATGCAAAAATATTACTATTATCAAGTAATATATTATATATAAAATTTTTTATTTGTTTATTATTAACCTTAAGAAATATTACAATTGTAATAAAAGTTTACTAATATAGTATTAGAATAAGCTAGTATATATTTACTTTAAGGAAAAAAGTCTTTATCTAAAACTTATATAATTATTTTTTCATTAGTTTCAGCTATTCAACTCAAACTTGCTTTTATTCAATATAACTATGCTAATATAAATATTAAAATATTTGCAGTTTTAGTATTTTATATTCTTTTATATATGTAATAATTTTTTACCTTAAAATTGAAAGGAGATTATATAAGTAAGATATTGAAAAAAGAAAGTAAGAACTAGCTATATCATATATAAGTTTTGAAATAAAATGCTAAAAATTTTAAAAGAACCTGAAATAATAGATCTCTATAGTGACTTAGTAAAAAATTTTAAAATTTCTCATTATTAGTTAATAGCATTTATAAAAAGATATAAGTTTATATTATGATAATATAGGGCCTTTGCAATAGAAAGGGAGGAAACTCCAAAAAAATTAAAATTTTAGTTTATAAGCCAAAAATGTTTCAAATACTATAATTTATTCAGATTTATTATTAACTCATTTTTTATTTTTTTTTGAGTTTCCTCCCTTTCTATTGCAAAGGTCCATATATAAAAATATCTTAAAACTTCTAAATCAAACTCAAGAGCTTTTAGAGAATTCAATCAATTCATTATTAATCTTAGAATTAAAATACTTATAAATTAAAGAATATATTTAATATGAATGAAATACCTGTTTAGTTTAATATAGTTAGTAATTTCACATTAATCTAAAGGATAAAAAAAGTATATGTTTGTATAATTAATAATAAAAAATCATTTTACTATTATTTAATATGTACTGCAAGTAAAAAATTTATTTAATAAATAATTTTATATAATTTAATACTTATCAATATATCAAATTTTGATAATTATACCTTTTTATTAATTTTTAAAAAATATATATTCATAGCTTTCTTATCTTATAAATGAAATAAAAATGTCTTTAATTTGTATATTCAAAAAGAAGTAAAGAATAAATTTTTTTCTGGTATTATGATTTAATTTCAAAAGAGCAAATGAATGGATTCAAATTTAATATATGATATATAAATTATTTTAATAAAATAAGGAAAAATATAATATTTAAAAGAATCTTACTATATTAATTATAATTCTTTTAAAGCCTATTTAGAAAAATTATTTAAAAATAATTCTATAAAAGTGAGTTTAATTTTATAGTAATATTAAGTAAACTAATCAGTATTTATTAACCTTTTAATATTTCTATAAATAAGCCATTTAAAAATAATTTTCACAAAGAATAGCATATTTGAATAATAGGTGATAATGCAGAAAAACTATTATAGAAAATCTTTATTACATTAAAATTAATATTATCTGTTTATAGATTAATACTTTTGAGAAGTAATTTTAAATGAAATTATAATTAAATCTTTTAAAATTTGTAAAATTTCAATTAATTTTAGTAAATCAGAAATCAGAATTAGAGATTCTTTTAGATTTTGCAGATGTCTTTAATGATAATGGTAATAATAATAGTAATAGTAATAATAGTAATAATAACATTAGCGATAATAGTAATATAGGTAGTTATCAATAATATAAATAAATAGTATATAATTTATTTTAATATAATTCGTATTTTAAATTTTTTAATACTATTCAATATTTTAATTTATTTAATTAATATAATTAAGATGAATTTTGATTAATAATATAAAATATATAAAAATATTCAAAATTTGCTTTTTTCAAATATTAAAATAATTTTTAAGTTATTTATTTTTAGAGATTACTTAATTTCAAATGATTATAGTAATGATAATTTAATATATTAAAAATAAGACTAATATAAATAAAATTTATTAAATATTAAATTATAAATTATGTATAATTTATAATAAATTTAATAAAATAAAATTAATCTAATTATATTTATTAATTTATAAATTAATATTTAATTATTAATTATAAATTAAAAATTGTTTACTTATTTTTTAATTAAACTATTTTAAAAATTAATTAATAAAATTATAAAATTATTAAATTAATTTTTTAATATTAAATATTTTATATTATAATAAATATATAAAATCTTTTCTTTTTTTATCCTAAAGATTATTTTGATTTATTAAAATATTTAATAAATTTATAAATCTTAAATAGATATTAGAATCAGTTATAATAATTTAATTTAAATTTAAGTTTAATCAGTTTTAAATAAATCTAATTCTAAATTTTAGAATGATATAAAACTAGTTACAATATAAATTAAATATAATTAGTTAAAAGATCTAGTTTTTGATTTATCAAAAATAATTTAAGATTAATAAAAAAATTTATATTTAGTCTTACACAAATTTTTCTCATACAATTATTTTTTACTTTGATATTTTTTTCTTTTAACATAATTATTTCTCATTATAGTGAACTTATCTACTTTTTTAATTATACTTTCTGATATAGAAACTATTATAAAACTTACAATTACTAATATTACAAATATAAAAGTAATATAAAAAATGAAAAGAAGAATTTTGTTCATTTTTAATTAGAACTAATTGTAGTCATACTGTATTTTTTCAGATTAAAAAATCCTAATATAAATTATTACAAAAATTGTAAAACGAACAAATAAAGCAACTAAAAAGATAGAAATTCTACTAATTTTATAATATATTTATGTAATAAATATAATATAAAGAAAATTATTTAAAATTTATAGATGACAAAATAGTAAATTTTGATTATCAATATGCTTATATAATATTAAAATTAATTTTTTATATAAAATTATAAAAAAATTTAAAATTGAATTGATTTAACCTAGTTTTTTAAACTGGACTAAATATTTTAATTGACTTAGTTATCAATTATAGCTAATTTAAACTAGGTCAATTTTTTGAAAATATTTAAAATAAGTTTTTAGAAATAAAATGCATTTCAACCTTTAGTTTTAATTTAATATTAAATTAATTATTATATAAATATTAAGAATTTTATTTTGTAAAATTTTATTATATGAGATCTTTGCAATAGAAAGAGAGGAAATAGCTGAAAAAATCAATTTTACTTTTATATTAACTCATTTTTTATTTTTTCAGCTATTTCTCGCTTTTCTATTGCAAAGGTTCTATATAGATACTTTGTAAAAAAAAAAACTTTTTTAAAAATTAATACTTTATCTAAATATATAATATTAATATATTTAATATATAAAGTAGATTTATTTTTTTAGTATTTTTAGTTTTTATACTGTATATATTTAATAAAATAAATAATATATTAATAATAAACTAAATGATAAATTTTTAAAAATGTAATCTAAAAGGATAGTAAAATAAGTTTTTTATATTTAAAGATAAAATAAAAGATTTAAATTGTAATTTATAGAATATTTTAATTTAATAAATAAGTAAATAAGAGTAAAAATATATATTATTAATTATAATAATCACAATTAATATAAAACTAATTCTTTATGTATATATATTTAATATTTAAAATATTAAAAAATAATTTTTGTTTTTTTATTATCTTTAAAATTAAATTAGTATAATTTTTTGATTTATTTAAATTTATAATAATAGTATCATTCATTTATTGCTAACGTATATAGTAAACTCCGTAAAAATTATAAAATTTGCCGAGAAAATCTTAGAATAGTTGATTGGTTACTATCAACTAAATCTAGTATATCTATCGATAATTGTATGGTATGATCTTTTTCATCGAATGAGATAGTGTTGAATTGTAAAAGATAAACATTTTTTGTATAATCACGCAATTTTTTTTCATTTATTTTCCTCATTTATTTCCTCATTTATTTATTTTTTTTACCTTTTTTTATTGTTTTTTTTTTTTTTCCGTTATTTTTTTTTTTTTAAAAAAATATTTATAATATAATACATAATAAATATGACTGTTCAATCAAAATCTATTCCTATTCAACAAACGTCTCAATCTTTTCCAGCATTTTTGTTGGCACTTTACCTTCAACAATTAACTATACATCCTTTGAAGACAAAAGCGATAACTTCCGGGGTGTTATCGGGTCTTCAAGAACTTGTTGCTCAGGAATTGAGTGGAATAAATAGTAGAAGAAAAGGAAAAGCTAAAGAAAATGACCAAGGAAAATTATATTTTACTGTTGATAAAAAGGTCGTAAAGATGGCCTTGTACGGTATGTTAAGTAGCATTATAGCATTAAAACACGTGTAAACCATTTTTCTAATCGATCGCGTAAAATATTTTTAGGTTTCTTAGTAAGCGGACCCCTTAATCATGTGCTTTTTGAAGCACTTAACAAGATATTTAGACATCGTACCGGAGCTGGTGCAAAATTTTTACAAATTCTGGCATCTCAATTAATTATCACACCAATTCAAAATACCGGTATGTAAATCATGTAAGCTATGCCGATTCTAATTCGTATTTACTCATGATAATTGTAATTCTTTTATCAGTATATTTAATTGCCATGGCAGTTATTGCAGGCGTTAATACTCCAGCACAAATTCAAAAAACCGTTAAAAAAGCTCTTTTGCCAATTATGAAAATGAGTTGGATCGTTTCACCATTAGCAATGGGTTTCGCTCAGAAATTCTTACCTCCACAGTTATGGGTACCATTCTTTAATATCGTTGGGTAAATTCTTTTTTAAAAGATTCGCGCGTCTTTTTTCATTATAACTTATAACCATTTATACATTCATTATTCATTTATTATTCAACTTTTAGATTTGTTTTTGGTGTTATAGCTAATACTAAAGCGAAAAGGATTCAACAACAAAAAAGTCACGATAACAGAGATCAAGACGAACGGGAAAGTCAAAATTGAAGGAATAAAAAAATCTTAATTAATTTTTTCAAAATGAACTTTTTAAAAAATTTTTTTGTTTTCAATTAAAAAATATAATTGTTTATGTAAATCTAAATATATATATAATGAAAATGTCGTATTTATTTTTACAAAATTCGCTTGCTCAATGTAATAGCATTTTATTTCCCCTTTGAAGAACCACAATTTGTCAAAACGTTGTCTAAAATGGGTAATTTTTTCTTAAACTCATTGGTCAAGACATAAGGGCATTAATCTCTAGATACATTACACATTATCGTAAATTAATTAAAACTTTAATAACTTAATTTTTAATTTTTTTTTAAAAAAAAAAAAGAGAAAAAAAGTTTCTCGAGGCAATACTAGTTAAACAAAAAATATTAGTGATTAAAAGAATAAAAATACATTCATACGTAAAGTAAAAATTATTACAATTGAAAAGAATCATTTCATAAAATCATCATGTATCAATCCCAAACCATTGCTCAAATTTGAGAGAAAAAATTGCACTCACCCAACTTTCTTTTCGATGTACATATATATTTATAATTATTTTTCTTGAAGACCTAATTCTTCTTTGGTCAAAATACCCAATTCTTCTTTAATCGGTTTCAATTCTTCCAAATATTGACTATATTGGACATCATTTTCAACTTTTTGTCTCAAACCTTCAAAAATCCTGACAGCAATTGGAAAGTCATTAACACGTCTAGCAGCTTTAAGTGATGCTTCAATTACAGATGGCGCTGGTACCAAATCATAAGCAAAACAATTGTTTAGACCCCTTGATAATTCAAAACGATCGTCAACTCCTTCAAAAAATTTAATATAACGTTCGGTGAACGCTTCAAAAGATTCGTCTTCATGAGCATCAGAATAAAAACGAATTCCTATTTATTCAAAACATTTATTATTATGATTATTATTTTAAAATATTAAACTAAAATGCTATTTTATTTTTTAAGATTTTCTTTTTTTAAAAAAAGAGACCTTACCTTTATACGTTAGAGGTTGACTAACTTTAGCAACGCGCATGGCAAGCCGACTATTACCCAAGAAAGTCCTTGGAATAACCCGAGTGATAGCATTAAGTTTATACATCTGACGAATAAAAATAATAATAATAAGAAATGAGGCTTAGGATATAAAGGGAAGCGTATAATTTTATATCTAAACAGCGAGTAATTAATTAACTTCCATATCGTGTACGAAGCTTTGTGTATAATTTCATTGCTTATTTAAAATGAAGACAATTTTCTTAACAAAATTAAACAATTAATAATTATCTAAGGAAAAAAAAATTTTTTTCGTTGAATAAAAAAAAAAAGGAGGAAATATTTACTTACGATTATAGTTAAAAAAAAAATCTAATGTAATAATGAAGAAAGTTAAAATTGTTACTGCGAAAAATTTTTTTTTTAAAAAAGAATAATCCATGATCTGATATCATGTAAAAGTATATCCGGTAAGATCGTCCAAAAAAACTTAATCTTTAAGTTTTCCTTAATAGTTTAATAAAATAATAAAATAATTATTATATATAACTAGATATCTAATTATTTTAGTAAATTATTTTAAATGAAAAAATATATCTTATTAGTAACATTTAAAAATAAATAAAGTGATGCATTAATTGTTACTTATTTAAATCAGTAATTATATATAATAGTATTATTTTCATTAGCAAACTTAGATAAGTTATTAAATGAAGTTTTTCAGATTTACACATTATTAATTTATATACTATTAAAAAATTTTTTAATTTTTTTAATATCAATAGATACATAAATTATTTAAAATAATAAAATATTATTAAAACTATTATAAATATATAATTTATATTAATTAAAATAAATATTAAATATTATTTTTATAATAAATATATGAATATATTACTGTTTAATTTAAAGTTGTAATCTAAATATTTATTAAGTAAATTTATAATGAAATTTTACTATCTATCTTTTAACTATTCAAGTATTAAAGTTTTTATTTATTTATCTAATAAAAGATAATCTGTTTATCTATATTTTAGCAAATAAGTAATAAGTATTTTTTAAATTATAATATATTTATTAGAAAAAAAATGCTATCAAATACTTTAAATCTTATTACTAAAAAATTTTTTAAATTAATAATTAATATATTTATCAAAAAATAAAAGATAATATACAATAACTGTCAAAAAAAATATAATAATATAGTATAAAATTTTGCTGATCATCTAAAATTATATAAAAGTATCATAAAAGTATATGTTATACCTTTTTCAAAAGCTACAACTAAAACTATTGGCTAATATAAATTTTATATTAAATTTACTATATTTATTTCAAATAAATAACATTTTAAAATATTAAAAAATTTAAAAAATTTTATTTTTTTTAATTTATATAATTAATTATTTGATTTGTTAAATTTGTTAAATTTTTAAAATTTTTATAAAATATGATAAAAAAATTATATTATGCTACCAATAATTTATGTCAGTTGATTGCTATCTTTAACTCCTTATTTATAAAAAAGTTAGAGTTAACGAAAACTGACATTTAATTTGAGTAATATTATATAAATTTATAAATATATTTTTTACTATTGGATATAACCTCCTCTCTTTTTAACTAATTATATCTATAATTCTTTAATATATCATTTAAATTAGCTTTATACAAACCTTAACTTCAATATTATTCAATCATTTTTCATAATTACTCCTTATTTTTTATTAGTCTTTTAAATGTCGTAACTTTAATTTAACTTATTTTACATATGTTAATTTGATTTAAATCTAATAATTGCATTAGCTAATCTAAAACTGTAATATTATTATTTTCTAACTAAATACTTATTAAATAAACTTTATATTTAGGATTATTCTCATATTGAAAATAATTTTATTGATTTTATACCTATAATACTAAGAGTTTCTAATAGATCATCTTCTAAAATTTCATAATATAGATGGTATTAATTCTATTATTGATTTTGCATAAATATCTGATATGATGAGCTGTAAAACATCCTTAAACAAATATTCTGTAACCTTTAAATTTTATATTCACTTTTACGTAATAATCTTTTAAGATTCATTAGTTTACTTCTTTACTATTTAAATCAAAAAATTAAATTACTTTTGTCTGATTATATTTATTTTATATTAATCATTATAATTCTAATGCTTATAATCTTTTATAAATTTATAATATACTTTTATACCAGCTTAATAATAATAATTTTTTAGCTTTAATAGCAGATTTAAACTCATTTTTCTTAAATACTTGTCATATTATAGTATCAAAACTTGTAAGTTTTTCTATTTAAAGTTTTTTAAACTTAAATGATATTTATACATTCTTTACTGATAATATAATAGACTGTCTAACTAGATATTAAAATTGATTATCAAATCTTTAGAGATTTGATTTTTATTTCTTATAATATAATTTATTTTAAACTTTAATAATTAATTCCATAGTCAATAAATATATTAAATCTGAATTAGAATTGTAAAATTTATTAATAAATTATATAACGTTGCTAATACTTAACTGTAAATTACTATAATATAGATGCTAATCATTACTAATCATTTGCTAATTATTTCATCATTTTTGAGTTTTTGAATGCTGTTGCTAATCAATTTTTTATTTTTGTTTAAAACATGTATTTGATCTTTAAATATAATATTAAATTCATTTTTTTGTTTAAATTCAAAGAATGAGATTCAATTTTAATTCAATAATTGATTCTAATTTTATATTTGATATTCTTATAATTAGTCAAAATATAAGATTAGTCAAATTTTGGTAAGTTCTTAATACTTTTTATTTTTCCATATTTTTTATAGAATCAAAAATAGTACTTTTAGAAACATGGTATCTTTTAGTAAATTTAGCTTGTGAATATACTTTTTTATCTAAATAAAATAAAAATTTGTATTCTTTATTTCTCACTTAAATGAACTATACTAATCTACATTAAATTACCAGATTTATAATCATATGATTTATCGCATCTATAATAAATTTGCAATTTCTCCCTAATGTACATAAAAATAATAAAATATATATATATATATATATTCTTTATCTTCTACAAATAAAAATGTGTAAAAATGAGTTGTTTAAAGCTCAACATGAAAGAATTATTAATGCATATCTGAGTGGTATCAAGCAAACAGTTATTTCAACTCAGCTTAGTATTATTACTAGCACTGTCAACAATACTATAAAAAGATACAAAGAAACAGGTTTTGCAATACCTGAGAAACATCCTTGTCATCCTAAAATACTTAATCAATATGATAAATAGACCCTACAATGTATCATTCGAAATAATTAGTTTTGTTCCTCTTAATGATATAACAAGCAGATTAAACTCTAATCTTGATACCACATTGTATAATAATACTGTTAGAAAATACTTTCATGATAAAGGTCTCAGTAGTTATATCATTTGTAAGAAACTTCTTTTAACCAAAAAATAACAAAAGGATAGGTTAAAATAGAGTAGAGAGAAATGAAACTGAGGTGATGAATGAAAAAAGATAATATGATCTAATAAATTCAGATTTGCTCTTTTTGAATTAGATAGAAAAATAAAAGCTTGAAGAAGTTCTAGAGAAGCTTATAATAAAATTATATCTTATCTACAGTTAAATTTGGTAGTAGTTCAGTGATATTTTGGGATTATTTTGGTTAGTATGAGGTTAAACCTTTAGTTGTAATAGAAGGAAATATAAATTTTAACGCATATATCAATATTCTTATTAATCATTTAATACCATAGATTAGTAACTATCTTAACTCTATTTTTCAGCAAGATGGAGTTACATGTCATATATCAAATTATAGCATTTGGTAAATAAAAACACATAATATTCCAATCTTAAATTGAGTAACACAAAGTTCTAATCTTAACCTGATCAAGAACTTGTGAAATTATTTAGATTAGTAGGTTAGAAAAAGAAAACTTTTACCTAAATGTAAACAGGAATTAAT